CAGTAGCTGAAATTACTTTGAATGTTTTTTTTTCGGGGAACAATGGCTTCTTGTCATGTACCTGAACTCGAGTCTCGATGTCTCTTAACATTTTTTTTTTTCCTTATCTGGGGCTGGTCACGAAGTTGGGTACATTTTATTATTTTAATTTTATTATGCTGCCCTCTGGGTTTAGTACTACAAAATGGTGTTCGAAACTTGTATTCAATTAAGATTTCTAAGGACTTTTTAATAATTTAGAAATCCTGGTATAACCAATTTAGATTTGTTAAGACTTTTAAAAATAGTGGGGTATTTAATTGGGATTTTAAAAAGCCTTACAAAATTTTGAGGTATTCAATTTATTTGACACTATGATTTATTAAGACTTTTTAAGATTTAGTGGGATTTCTAAACAAAAAACCTTATACGAAATTTCATTTCAAATTCTACCTTCAGACTTAAGATTTCGTAGAACTCTTAAAAAATCTGAAAATCTTAAAAAATCTCAAATCTAAAATATTTATAAAATGTTACTTAAAATTTCAATTGAATACACTCCCTTTATAATGTGTGGCATTCATTTCTTTTGGTGTAAGTTGGGTGCCGATAATTTGATCTCCCTCTCATTGAGTTACTGGGCAAATGTGAATAAATTATAATTTTAGTCATGTATGTTTCGCTAATTTAATTTTTTCGTCCTCTTCGAATAGTGTTTTTGATTTTCGTCCCATATGTTTGAAAAAATGTTACACAAAGGTCATTTTCATATATAAGGAACGAAATTGAAACACTTTTTGCAAACCATAAAGGACATTTTTGTTGCGAAAATGATCTTTTTGTAACTTTTTTTCAAACATACAGGACAAAAATAAAAAACACAATTCGAAAAGTACAAAAAAGTTAAAGCAGTGAAACATACAGGACTAAAATTATAATTTACTCGACAAATGCTATCAATTGTTAATGGCAAAATGGTTAGTTATTAGATGTATTATTGGAGCCTCGTTTACTTGATGGGATGGGATAGGATGGTTTAATACCATGAGTCAGTTTTATTAAATATATAATTATTTGAATATTCAATGGTATAATAAACATTATATGTGTGGGTTTTTGGACAAAAATGTTATCTTAGTGTTGGCAGAATAATATTTCACCCTCAAGAGTCAAGATGTGAGTATTGGTGTGTATCTACCTGCCACATATAAATTTATCTCAATCTCGATTCCTGTTAGTAAACACTGAATAATGTTGGTTAAGTAATGTTATCCCATCCAATCCTAGTAAGTAAAAGAGGTGTGAGTGTATTAGTGTATATCCTGTCTGATGCACGATATAGTAATATTAAAGTTATTTTTTAAAGTTAAATGTTGGACTAAACAACATATGAAGGTTACCTTTTAAAATTAAATGTTGGACTAAATGATCATATTTAGTTATTTTCAAAAATTAAATGTTAGGCTAACCTTAATACCTATTTTAAGGTGATTTTGTATGTACTCTTTCAAGGTATACACAAAACACTGGTGTGTATATATTTTATTAGACTACACACAAATTTAAAAGTATTTCCTAATTTATAATTCTCATTCATTTACTCATCTATTAATTGTCTTAAACTTTAATATATCATTTACTTTATCAATTAGATCAAATTAATTTATAAAACATATTAATAAGATTTGATAATTTAATTTTTTAAAATCACCTCTTTTTAAAAAAAAAAAAAAACGATAGAGATATTATATAAATTTTAATGGTAAAGCTTTAATTTTTTTTTAAAAAAAAATAAATAAATTAATAATTTTATTAATCGATGAACGTAATTACATAATTTAAATAAAGACAATTAAGTTTTTTAAAACTTGATAAAAATTTCAACTAATAGATAAATATAAATATAGGATAAAAGATTTTCAACCTGAAAGCGGAAAAAATGGAAAAAAATAAAAGAAAAATGATAAGATTATAAAAGAAAAAATATTATAAAATTATAAAATGAATTTAGAAAGTATGATCAAAGTGAAGACTCACATGTTACGGATTTGAAAATTTATAATTAATGATACTGAAACAAATTCGAAACATTATTAAAAGAAAAACTTCGATATTTTTTTTTTTTATAAAAAAGGTATTGAATCAATTTTAAAACATTATCAACAATAATAAAAATGTCCGTTCTCAAAAGATTTTAATGGAATAACAAAATAGTTACTCTAACTAATTTTTAACTAACCCCTATGAAGAATGAAATAATATCTATACTTATTTTCATTTAAAATTTAAAATTTAAAATATTTAAAAAAAATAAATTTAGTAAATTTGAAATATGTAAATAGAAATATAGAGCATGTTCGTATACAAATTTTTCACTCAAAGTGGATTTTTTTTTTT